ACCTATGGAAAACTGTGCCTGACTACGTTGTAACAGTTTTCCTCGACAGGCTGGACGTCTTCATTCTTCAGTCATTTTGTTGTTGCTGTGTCTCGTGCTCGAGATTAACGTAGTAACACTTGCGGCTTCCCGCAAAAAAAAGGAAAGATTCAGACAGGCAACGTCGACGAAACTCATCGAGGAGTTGCACATCAATTTTCACTCTGCAACAGAATTTGTCATATTGATGACATCAATCACAATGATTCATTTACGAGCCTCTCGTGCTCCGGGAGTGTTCCATCCACAAAGATTCTCGAACACATGAGCCATTCCATGAAGGACACCATACATGCACACTACGACGGTCCTTTACCCTACCGGTGGCGCTGAAACTGGCGGCCAAGCTATTCTTGTGTGCCAGCGCAGAAAAATACACAAGACAGCAGTGTAGTACCTCCAGGTCATCGCTAAGAAACGGCTTCTAAAGAGCGAACACAAAGTGCCAAGACAATACAGTCGTCCCCGCTTTAAAGACACCATTGACACTCCCCGCTTTAAGGACACAAAAAATCTCAGAAACATGCTGCCCCGCAGATATGAAAAAGTAGGGGGGTTGGTTTTTCCACCATTCGACCCCCCCCAGAAAATGTGCTGCAGCACCTGTAGATCCTGGATCATCAACAGCGGTCTGCTGCTGCTGCACACTGCGTGTGGGTGTATGGAAAGATTCATTCCATCTGCTAGCGGAGAAGAGGTCTTTCTTGAGGGATGAGGTAGAACTCGAGAAGGAAGAAGTAACGGAGAACATGTCCAACGTACACGTCGAGGAGGACGTGTCCAGTGAAGAGGAAGGCGATCACGGTAGGCCAATCGTGCATAAATTTACGATTTCAGAGGGCGAGGTTCGCTCTCGTCTCGAAGATGTTCGCTCTTACTTGACACACATGGAAGAGACGGCGAGTACAGCGAAACGGCGTACCTTCTTTCGAAGACTGTGCATTCGTTTAATCATGAATCTCAGGTCAAGCGAAGAGCAAAGGAGGGGGGGGAGGTGCAGGCGACTCTTCGGGATATGTGGCGGGTGTAGTTTTTGGTTTCGAGAGCAAAGCACTTTTATTGCCAACGTTCGTTGTTTGCCTTGGGTGGAGTCTCGTGAGGTTGAATTTGGCGTTTGTGTTGTGTTGTGCCTCGTTTTGACCTTTTAGGAGGCGCGGTGTCCTCTTTGTCGCTGTGCTTTCCCGACATTTTTGGTCTCTGTGTTTCTGCGTAACCTACATTTTCCTAGTGTCGTTTTATAACCTTCGATATTTCTCAGGTGCGGTAGCGAGATCTTGGGCAAGATATTCACGGGGAGGACAACGCCTAAAAGATAAAATAAAGCAAATAATTAAGCCCATATCAACACCAGCGCACTACCGTCGTGTACATGTACGATGCGTAGGTCGTAGAACACCATCGCTTTCAGCGTTTTGGTGGTACAGTACGGGGAAATTCAAACGATGGTATGCACGTACGTATGTATTGCAGCACAATGGCAGCAGTGGTTGCGACCTGCAAATCACCTTGGTCGTAGGTTTCAAACAACACCTACCTCTTGTGGTCGCCTTTCTGCTGCGAATGCGCACCTTTTAACATATGTTTCGCCTTCATTGGCCCCGGGGATGGTGCGTTAGTGGCCCCGGAATTTAAAAGACACTTCCCCGCGTTAAAGACACTTTTTTGGGGGGAAAACGTGGTGTGTATTTAAAGCGGGGTCGACTGTATTCCTAACCAATAACCAAGGGACGACTCTGTGTGTATAGAGATAAACAAATCGTAAAACGACAATCGACGAACAGAGATGCAACGAAGAGCACCAAAAATTGAACCCTCTACAGTAATGTACACGGATACTCTTCAAGCATGAACAGGAACCCACCTGGATGAGGGAAAAGGGTTAAGTCCAACCATCAACAAAAGATACACGTCGACCGACATACTAACCACGGCAATACAAGAGGCTCAGCCTGCTGGGAAACCCGACGGCATTGCATATCGTCGCGAGACCCTGCCGCCGCCACACATCATGAACGGTTGAAACAGCATCGCTGCTGTAGGGCTAAATGAAACAACGAAACGAACTGAACCCTGTGCACTGCACCATCACCTCAACGACGACAGAGAACGCCCAAGCGACACCTCTTACGAGGTGTAGTGCTGTTATGGCAAGGCCGCCATTCCTCATGCCCTTGTAGTGGCCCACGAACACCGCAACACCCCAACCTTTTGATCTCTCAATAGCTGTGAACCAAAACCGACCGGTTCTCAATAACTGTGAAGCGTCAACTAGACTAAAACACTACCCAAACTAGCCAGTGGGACCGCCTTCGCGAGAAATAATGTGTATCAGACCCCAACCGTAGCCCCAACTTCCCCAATTGCATTCTTTTTTGAACAGCTTAACTCATTAGACCTGCTAAGGCTAATGAGCATTAGCTATCACAAGCAGACCGGTCGGCTCGAGCACAGCGTCAATAAAACTCGACAACACTCCCTAACGGGTCCAGCTAGTACGCATAGACGACGCACAGAGGACGGCCAGATGCTAGACCTTCCGTGTTATGATCTGCCTTTTCGGACCAAGCAGAAAGCGGTTCGGTGACATGCAACCACGGCTTGCTGTCACCGCAACTATTGCAACAAACGAGGAGCGATGGCATGCACTCAATGCTTGCTGTCATCGCAACCAAGGAGGAGCACCAACCGTTCTACATTATCAGACCGCAAAAGAGTACGCGACAACCGAGAGACTCATTCCACGCAGCGTACCGCCTGCAGAGATCAAGATCATTTCAGCGAAGAAAGTACAAAAGGACAAAAACAAGATATGTAACACGTGCCACGCGGGCCTTTGGAACGTGAGCCGGAACGCTCGCCCTAAAAAAAAAAAAGTAATATGCCTTAAACCACCCTGCCACAGAGAGCCCATGCTCGCATCCCTGCACTACGCGCGTAACGCACAGAGTGATGCGTTCGGAATCAACGCGTCCCCGACAGCCGAGAAAAAGACGGTTGGTGCTGAAAGCAACCAATGATGCATGTGCGTGCTTTGGAACCAAGTGGACATTATGGTAGAAATAAATACATTTTTTGCTATTTATCACGCGCTCATTTTCCTTATGGCGGGTGTCCCGGAGCTTGACAGAACAACTGTCCAGGATGGTACGGTGGGGGTGATCCTAGATCGTCCTGCTCAAGCACGGAGACATAGGGGGGCGTGGGCGGGGGCGGGGGCGGGGGCGGGGGCGGGGTGTACTCATAGTCATGCACGCCGTAGTCGTTAGACCATTGACCTCGCATCCCTACAAAGCCGGGACGGAGCACGCCGGGTTCTCACCGGACCAGGCTCTCACATCACCAAGCGCGAAGCGCCGTGAGATATGCGGCGAGTCGCATGAAGGGTGCGCTGCATTCGGCTACGGGTGTTCGGCATCTTGTGCTTACTTCCTTCCGTACGGATGACAGCTGCGTTTGACTTAATTTATTTTCTGGTGTTTTCCCTCACAGAGACAGTTGTAAGCACTGTGTAACTGCCTCGAGGGTGCTTGACCATTTTAACACAACGTGGTGCGATCATCCCCCTTGCGCGGAGTGAGGCTTCTCCACCCGCACAACATGATCTACTTGACCACCATTATGGTGACCGCAAAAAAAAAAAAGGTAAAAAAAACCCGGTAACCTGGTTGCCGAGTTCACGAAGTGAATTGGCTTGTTTTACAACGTCATTGCCAAGCGACGAAAACCCAATCCCGATGGCAAACACCGGGGGGGAGGAGGGGGGTGAATCTTTCTGAGCCACAATTCCGAGAGGCGAGAGGGCACCGTTGCTTTGGGTATCGGTGCTGCTCTCTTGGTTACCTTGTCGCTGCTTTCGTCAATCAGTCGTGCCGAGACACTAAACGC